CGTGCGCGGCAGGTGACCGTGACCGGGACCGGGGCCGGGGACGGGACCGGGGACGGGGACGGGGACGGGGGGGCACACGGGCAGGGGCCGCTGCGCCCGCGGAAGGTCTCCGCGGTGGCGGAGGGCGTGCCGGCGTGGGGGTACCGGCGGTGCCCGGCGTCGCTCCCCTGCCCCGTCTCACCGCGGTTTGCGCTTTATTCGGTGTTTCAGGTGACGTGCATCGAGGTGGTTGAGGCCTACGTGGAGAGGACCAAGGAGGTCAATCCCCTCATCAACGCCGTCGTTAAGGACCGGTAAGCCGGGGAGGAGAGGGGGCTGTTGGCTCGCTGCCGCTGCGGCCTTCCTGTCGGGCCAGCGGGCTGCAGCACGGCAGGGCCGGGTGCTCCCGCCGGCGCTGCTGGCCCTGGTTTGGCTGGGTGCAGAAGCGAGCAGTTCCTGCGAGGGCCGTGAAGAAGAGCTGGGGAAGTCTCATCTTCCATCAGCAGCTCCCACCACACGCTTAGCATCTGCCCACCCTGCAGAGATGCCTGCTCCTTGCCAGTCACTCGGGGCTGGAGAGCAGCGCCAGAGCATCCCCGCTGGTTGCTTCTTTGCAGGTTTGAGGAGGCCCTGCAGGAAGCCCGGCAGGTAGATAAGCTGCTTTCGGAGGGCCCTGGCGATGACTACCTGGAGGAGAAGTTCCCCTTGTTAGGGGTTCCCATCACTGTCAAGGAGGCCTTTTCTCTGCACGGTGGGTTTGCCCTTGCTTCTCTCTAGCTTCACTGGTTGTGACTCACTCCTTCTCGGCCACATGCTCCCCAGGGTGGTGGGTGGCTGTGGCAGGGCACTTGGAGGGAAGCAGCTTCCCTTTCCCTGGTCTGCACCCCTACTCTGCCTGGGCTCGTGTGTCTGCGTTCACTTTTACCACCCAGACGCTGCAGGAGTTGTGGAGCAGCCCTCGCTGGGGACCTGCTTCTCACAGACATGGTCCCTGTGACCAGCCTTGCAGCCTGCTGCCCCCAGGATGATCTCGGGGGGAGCTGGCCCTGACACCTCCCTCCATCTGTCAACCCTGGCACTGCAGGGATGCCCAACACATCTGGCTTGGTCAACCGCCGCAATGTGATTGCTACCTCGGATGCCACGGTGGTGTCCCGGCTGAAGCAGGCCGGTGCCATCCCGCTGGGCGTGACCAACTGCAGCGAGCTGTGCATGTGGTATGAGTCCAGCAACAGGGTCTATGGCCGGACCAACAATCCCTATGACCTGCAGAGGATCGTGGGTGGCAGCTCAGGTGAGCCCTGGCAGCTCAGCACAGTCCTGCACGAGCAGCAGATTAAAACGCAGCAAGGAAAGAGTTCCCAAGGCCTCTGCACGCTGCTTTAACTTGTCGCTGGGCTCCTGCAGAGCTCACAGGCCTCTTTCCTGGGCAGTGCAGTGGGCCATTTGGAGGTCCAACTGCTTGGCACCTGCTGGATGTTACATCCGGTATCATTGTGGCTCACTCGGTCTCACTCTACCTGCAAACAGCAGTGCTGGTGTGGCATTTCAGCAGGGAAGTCCCTTCGGCCCACATTCCCCAGCTGGCCCCCAGACATCGCTAAAGCCCGAGTGGCTCCCACCCCATCTGTGTGCAAAGGGAAGCAGCCACCGTGAGGTGCTCCTGCTTTGCTGGGTGATTTGCACGATAAGCCTGTGGGTTCCTTGCTGTATTTTCTCCCATGCAGGTGGGGAGGGCAGTGTCCTGGCAGCTGCCTGCTCAGTCATAGGCGTGGGCTCTGACATCGGTGGCAGCATCCGCATGCCTGCCTTCTTCAATGGAGTCTTTGGCCATAAACCCACGACAGGTAAAGCGGGCATGGGGGTCTCCTCTCCTCCCCAGCAGAGATGCCAGGAGATGGAATGCGGGCTGTGGGAGGAACCTGTTAGGGACACTCCTCTGCTTGTCTCTGGTGAGATTGCTGAAAGGGGGCAGGCAGCTTCTTGCCATGGGACAAGCCCCCTGCATGAGTACAACCTGGCTTTGGCAGTGGAAAGCCATTTGGTGGCAGAACGCCAAGCCTGTGGGAGGTGTTTCACCCCTGATATTGTATCCTCAGCGTGGGATGTTTTCCCAAGGTCAGGATCTGGGGTGTTTCCCTGGCAGCTGGTGACCCAGGTGGATGTTTTCCTTCTTTCCCCACCCTGTGCACCTTGCCGTCAGCTTGCAAGCACTGCTGATGTGTGCAGTCCCTGGGCAACATCTTCCACCGGCGTGGCTTGCCCTGGCTGGAGGCGATGCTGGCAGGGTGGTACCCAATGTCTCATTGTGCCCACAGGGGTGGTCCCCAACGATGGCCAGTTCCCAAATGCTCGAGGGGTGCGGACCAGCTTCCTGTGCACGGGGCCCATGTGCCGCTATGCGGAGGACCTGGAGCTTATGCTGAGGGTCATGGCCGGTCCCGGAGTCAGCAGGTGAGCTGCTCCTACTACTTCAAGCTGCTGAATTGGTCTCGGCTACTTTGGCCGGTGCAGCAGGTCAGTCCTGTTTGGTGTGCAAGAGAGGTCTGCTCTACCCAGATTGCTTGTTACTGGTTTCCTTCCTCTGCCCCTGGCTTCAGCAGGACCCTTGCAGCCACGGCTGTCCTTCCCACCCCCCACGTGCTCTGGGGAACAGGCAGCCATGGTCAGCCAGGTCCTCCTCACAGAAAGACTTCGCCAGTGAGCTGCTCCAGCCAGGGCCGCCCAGCGCGGCCCTTCCCTCTTGGGGCTGGCCTTTCTTTTGGGTTTTACGTGTTCTTTTTCCTGTTGTTGAATAATGAGTTTTCCATCCCACACCATGGCCCCATTTGGTCTCTTCATAGGTCCCTGCAACCAGGCAGCCTTTTATGTGCACCTACCAGTAAGGAGCGGAGCGGGGATGGGGTGGACCGGGCAGGTCCTGCTTCTTGCCACAGCCTGCATGCGGTTGCTTCTTCTGTTACCACTTTGGTTTCTTCATGGCTCTTGTGGTGCAATCCCAATCTTGGCCGTGGCCAGGGTCTGTAATTACAAGGTGCATCTTGAGAGATGAGGATTTTCCTAACAGCAACAAACATGCAGAACTAGCTGGGACTGATGGGGCAGGCGAGCAGCTGGATGGATTGTGAGCAGCAGGTGTCTGTGTGTCTTCAGGGACTCTCCTTCCCACCCTGATGGGTAGAGCAGGGTGTCCTGAGGACGCATTAACAAGTGTGCGAGCAGCTCTGACAGCTGGGGAGGAGCCAGGGATGGATTTGCGAGCAAAGCGGTGTTCCTTTCCCAGGCTGAAGCTGAATGAAAAGGTGTCACTGGAGAAAATAAAATTTCACTGCATGGATCATGACGGCGGGTCAATTTTTGTGTCGCCTGTGGACAAGGAGATCTTGCAGGCCCAGAAGAAGGTAGGAAGGAACGGAGGTTGGCTCTCACTGGGGTGAGCCTGGAGATGAAACATGGGGAGACCAGTCCCAGGAGTCACTTGGAGGCGCAGTGAGCTGCTCTGTGCACAGCTCCTTCAGGGACTGGCAGGATGGAGGGCTGCAGGCTGCAGTGCTGCAGAAGCAGCCTCCAGTAGAAAAAAAGCAGAAAGATCTTTTTCTTCTGTGTTAAAGAAGAAACAAGGGGAAAATCTTGCGAGTGGCTGCAGACCCCCTTGCCAGCAGCACCCGTGTGTTGAAGTGCACTGGGGTGTCCAAAGTTTTTGGACCAATTTCCATTGCAATAGCTGTATTTTGCTTTCTTAACATCTCTTTTCTACGTTATGGAGACCTTCTGGGGCCACGTCGCACGGCGAAGGGATGGCTGTGTGTTTGTAGTCTTCCCAGGGCTGCTGCCTGGTATTTAGTCATGCAAAGGAACTCTTTTGTTTTTCAGCAAAATCTTCTGTGCTGCTCTTGGTGCTCTTCTGGAGCATCACTGGGGGTGGCGTGGAGGGCTGTATGGGGAGCTCCAAGGTTGTTATAGGATGGAGGAGGTCCCGCTGCTCAGGGCAGAGGGGAGCAGGCAGGAGCTGCAGGATCCCCTGCGTGGCAGCAAAGAGAAGCTGCTCCTGGGCTCTCTTCTGTCCCTAGTTTCCATGGAGTGACCACAGTGCATCACATCCTTGCAGAAACAAACCCTTCCCTCTCTTCCCGTTAGGTGGTGGAGCACCTCGAAAGCAAGCTGCGTGTCCAGGTTCAGCGTGTGGCGATCCACAAGATGAAGTATTCTTTCCAGATCTGGTCAGCCATGATGTCGTCCAAGGACAGCGATGGGCAGGTGGGTCAGACCGAGCTGGCAAAGGCACAAATTCAGTGGCAGCAGGGAAGAATCGGCTGTTTGGGGCCAGCCATGGAGACCTGTAGGCTTCCCAGACCTGGCCGGGGGCTTTCTCTGCTCTGTTTGTCCCCCCAGTCTTCCTTCCATCTCTTTCCAAAGCTACGCAACCCCTTCTCCCTTGCTTTCCCGTGAGGTGATGATATGGCTCCCAGCAGAGGAGTGACATGGTTTAGAGGGGGAGAGGCCATTTTAGCACGTTGATGTTTTCTGTGTGAGTTGGTAAGTCAGCCAAGCAGGTAGCATCCTGCCTCACTCTTACCTCTGTGCTGTGTTTCACCTGACATGGTAGGTTGGGATTAATACCCATTAGGATGCCAGGACTGAGGTAGTGGATTAGCAGCTTTTCAGCAGTGGGTCTGCATGTGTTATTTTTTCCTTGGAACTGTAGCCACTGTGCCATGCTCTGTGCATGCATGGAAGTATTTTGTATCAAAAATAAACTCTTGGGAGTATTACACCTCATGCATTCTGCCATGCAGGCAGTGGTGAAAAATAAACCGACACCATCTTGCTAAGGAGGGCACACCTGATGCCCTCTGCCTCCTTTTTCTTGATCCCACAGCCATATAACAGCAGTAAATGCCTCCAGGACACATTATTCGGAGCATCATCCCTTGTATCATGTCAGAGAAGCGGTACTAAAAGGTGCTGCTTTGGGGGCATCTCCGTCTGCAGAGCAAGGTCCCCTTCTTGCTGTCTCTGGCAGGGAGAGATGCTCCTGCTGCTGCTCTGGATTAGTGCTAGAGCTGTGTAACGCTCCTGAGGGGCATCTCTTGTCTGAAGATGGCAACAGCTTGCGTCGGGATAATTGGACAGCTGGAGATTTCACTGTTGTTAGTCAGCCTGGTCTTCCCCATCGTGTGCTAGCTGACGGTGCTGATGGAGGGAGCGTGTGTGTGTGTTACAGGAGGCACAGCTATTCACAGACCTGCTCGGGGATCATGGCAAGCCGGTGTGGCCGCTGTGGGAGCTGATGAAGTGGCTCGTGGGGATGTCTTCCCACACTCTCCCAGCTATCGGTAAAGCCGGGAGGAGCCCCGGGGTATGCAGAGGGGGTGGTGGGGCGGGCAAGTTGTTAAATGAAAATAGTGCCCTTCTAGTGCCCCACAAAGGGACTCCAGAATTTGCACTGAGCAGCTTCAGACTGTGGTTTTTTGTAACGACACTCAGTGTCTTCAAGTGAAACACCTGCTTGAGGGGGAGTTGGCTGAATCTTTGATAAATGGGTTTGGATATCCTGGGAGAAGAAGCGAGGACAACAGAGCTGCAGGCAGGGTTTGTTCCTGCTGTGAGCCCTGCCAGAACTGCTGGGGCTTAGAGGGAGCCAGTCAGGGGTCTGCACCGATCTCGTTTCTTAGCAGCAGATACCAGAGAACCCTAATTAGTGCTGTCATGCCACTGTCTAATGAGTGCTGAGGTTGGTCCGCCAGCTCTGCTCAATCCCAGTGGCTGGAAAAACTTGGAGCAGTGGGTGGGCTGAAAGCCTTTTCCTTGGCAAAGCTGGGGAGACACTGCCTGCAGAGCTGTGTCTGGGGCAATCTGCTCCAGGAGCCAGCAGGGAGGGGGACTTGTGGGGGGCCCCACTGGGAGCTGGGGGGTGCTGCCTGTGGCCGGGCAATGCACTTTCTGGCCTGCTTAGCCCATAGTCCTTGCGCTCTCTCTCTTCCTGTTTGTGTCCTTGCCCTGCAGCCCTGGGGCTGACGGAGAAGCTGATGAAACTCAATCCTGGTGGGAATGCCAAGCTGGTGAGCATGGGGAAGAGCCTGCAGGAGGAGATGGAGGCCCTGCTGGGGCCTGACGGGGTGCTCCTCTACCCCTCCCACCCCACCATAGCTCCCAGGCACCACTCTCCCATATGCATGCCCTTCAACTTTGCCTACACAGGTGAGCTGCTCTGACTGCTGTGCTGGGGTGCAGGCAAGAATCGTGGGCATGCCTTCACATGCTGCAGCAGTGCAGGCTGCTAGCCAGGGTATTTTAGCCCGAATATTTCCATCACTGACAGTGGGCTTTGCAGTGCAGAGGGGTGTCTTGCTGCTCCAGAACATGGGGTGAGGATTATGGTCATGCTTTAAAACTGTGGCAACGGTACCCACTGTCTGCAGCAAGGCAGGTTTGATCTTGGGGCGGGGGGGGTTAGTACCCTGCCCCAGAGGGATGCTCTGACACTGTTAGCTGACACTGTTACAGCTGGTGCTGTGGTTTAGCAGGCACCCAAGAGCTGCTGCATCTCTTGGGGTACAGTTTGGGGCTCTCTATGTGGCTTTCCTGCGTCTTGAGCTCCTTGATGCCAGCACGGTGTTGCAATGCTGTCTGGCTTTGGAGTAATGGAGGGATGGTGCCTGGGGCAGGAACGTCCCCAAGCAGATCTCAGCATGCCACAGCAAGTGCCACATAAGTGTGTCCACTCGTGTGTGCAGTTTGCATATGTGATGTGGGCGCTGGGAACATCTAGCCAGTGATGTCCCCTTGTCATCATGTCTCTGCACCACCTGCCTTGACTGCACCGCTCCAGCAAGGACCAGCTCCCAGGACCCTGGTGCTGTCCATGGCAGCACCTCCCTGCCAGGGCTGGGAGAGCCGGGTAGTGATTTATCCTGGTTGCTGTGCTTGCTCTGATGCAACCTTCTCTCTTCCAGCTATCTTCAACGTTCTGGGCTTGCCAGTGACGCAGTGCCCGCTGGGCCTGAGCAGTGAGGGCCTGCCGCTGGGCATCCAGCTGGTGGCAGCTTCCTACAACGACCACCTGACACTGGCAGTAGCCCGGTATCTGGAGAAGGCCTTCGGAGGATGGGTTTCACCTGGGAAAGTTTAGCCTGGGCCGTTGGCACTGCGGGGAAGCAGGGACGGTGGCCGCCCAGTGAGGCAGCAGCAGGCACTGATGCCTGATCCTGTCATGACACTACCTGCTCCCTCCGCACCCCACCTTGCACTCTCCTGGGAGCAGCTGGCACTGCCTCCAGTGCCCAGGGAAGCTGGACTGTTGCTGCTGGCGTGGTCTCCTCCCTGCAGCACCCTCTGCCAGGGGAGAGACCTGCCCTCCCCGTGGCTCCTCGGGAGCCCCGGTGATGCAGGCTGGCAGCAGGCTGCCTGCATCCTGCCTGTAGTGGGCACCTATCTTCTGGGCGTGGAGATGGCTGTCTCTGTAAGGCTTGCTGCTTTGAAGACACTGAGTGAAGGCTGGGGAGAGGAGGTGCTGCCAGCCTGCTCGGGGACAACTGCCCAGCACCACCTTCAGGGCCTCCTGGGTGCATCCATCCTCCTTGGCCTTACTCTGCCCACGGGGCTGGGACTACACCAGTGCACTGCAGGCTTGCTGGCCCCTGCAGCCTCCCTGAGCTGCCATGGGGTTTCCCCCACCCTCTAGCCAAAAAGAGAGAGGGGCTGAGGCTGCTGGAGGCAGCCATATGCTCATCACACTGATGAGCTTTGTGGGGTGAATGGTGCTGGGCTCTGCCTGGTGTGGAGCTGGCAGGCAAGGGAGAAGGAGCTTTTGCTTTTGTGAGCTTTTGACAGCACTGGAAGAGTTCTTTAAATGCTCTTCTCTGTGTGCTGAGACAGCTAAAGCATCTCCTGCCAGTGTCTTGCCCTTCTGTTCCGGGGGATCATCCAGCCTGACTGGCGTCCCTTACCACCCACCCTCCCGCGCTGCCCAGCCTCTGCCCCCACGGGTGGATGCAGGCAGAAATGGTGGGCAGCTGGCTGTTCCTGGGGTGGGCAACAAGCCTGAGATGTTCTCAGTGAGGGTGCTATTAAAGAGTCTGTCCAGTTTGCGGCCGGCTGTGTGTCCTTGTTCCCGACGGCTGTTGCCCTGCCAGCTGTGGGGCTGCCGCCCCCCTGGATTCCGGCCCTGTCTCCACCTGTGCTGTGGGATGGGCTGGGGCTGCTGAATGCTGTCGGCTGTGGCTGCAGTGAAGGTGTTGATGTCCACTCCAAGGGTGGCACTTGGCCACTGCTGGGCTCTTGCTTTAAAATGCGTGGAATGGTGGTGTCTGCTCAGCTCCTGGCAGAGCTGAAGGGTGCTGGTGAGCTCCGGCGGTGCCGCAGTCGATGGCTCTGTTTGTCTTGTAGTGCTTGCGCAGCGTTAATGCTCTTGGAAAGTGTAAACCCTGCTGCTTTTCCCCCCGATAGGCTGCTGAAGGCTTGGGGCTCGTAGGATGCTGAGCCTTGCATGGGTTCCTTGGGGTCTTTAGGGCAGAGCAGGGCGTGGGGTCCCAGGTCTGCGTGCCCACCCCGTGGTGCTGATGTTGGCAAGGATTAAACCTCCTCCTGGTGTTGGCTTTGTGGGGACATCCTGGCTTATGTCTGTCCTGCCATGTGTCACCCCTGGTGCTGGCCCAATCCCTGGGCTGTTGTCTTCTGTCCCTGAGCCACTAATGGTCCCTGCAAGGCAGGACGTGGGTGCTGGGTGCAGCCAGGGTGCTGGGTGCAGGCTGCATCTTGCCACTTGCTTGCAGAGGGCACTGCTGAGCCAGCTGAGGGCTGCGGGCCCGGGGAACCTCTAGCCAGATGAGGCATCATCAACAAGGAAGGAGGAAAGAAAAAAAATCAACAACAAAAAAAAAAACGACCCGGGGAAAAGGGCACAAACCACTGAAGCCAAACCACGTGTTGTGAGGCGTCTCCCACAGCCACCCAGTGCGGTGGCACTGGGGACACGGGCCTGTGCCCCAGCTGGAGGGAGCCTTGGAGCTGGGAAGACCCTGATGCTTCCAGTGAACGCTCTCTGAGCCTAACATGGGATTGCTGAGCTGAAGGCGATTGTGTTTAAACAGCGTGGTGGGCGCAGACTGCAGCCCTGTGTTTCCTCTAGCAGGTTCCTGTTACGGCAGGGGCTGGATGAGCACCTACGTGGCCCAAGGTAGGGGGGACTGCTGGCGCTTTGGGGCAGTGGGGAGATGGGGGTTGCAGGCAAAGGAGGGGATGAGCGGAGGGGAGAGGGTTTCACCTCTGCAGTCTCATCTGGCGGGGTAGCCAGTAAACTATATTTTTACAGAAACTGCAACATGGGGAGGAGTGCTGGGTTTTTCCCTCTGACCAAGGTGGACGGGGACCAGGTGTGCTGGGGCTGGCAGGGACCATCCTGCAGCCCCCCTCGCTGCTGCAAAAGCGCTGGCCCCCTGCGTGGCATGCTGCCTCCTCCTGCAGCAGGAGCAGCCCTCTCCCTGTCCACACAGGCAGTCAGGTCCTGGGGTCTCCCCAGGGAGCCGACTTGCTGCTCCGTACCTCTGTGAGTCCCAGGAACAGGCCTGGGGGCCCCTTCTCCCTCTGGGGAGAAACGTCTGCTGCCTTTGCCGGGGGCCTGCTGCAAAGCCTGGAGGGCTTGTGCTAGCGTCGGGGCAGGGGGAAGCTGTAAACCCACTGCCTGTATTTGGCTTTAGCATTTTGGAGGTCTCACCTCAGGGCTTGCAGCTGCCCATCCCTGCTTGCTGGCTGCTCCTCCTTGTTTCCAGCTCTGAATGCTTGCAAGGAACAGAAAACACGGTGAAAGCATTTTATATGCACCTGCCAAGGTGGTCGTCCTTATAACGTTAATACAGAGTCAGTACAAAATGGGAAGAGCAAGAGGCAACGTGTGGGAGTAAGCCAGCCCTACGGATGTCCAGTCTGGCCAGGGAGATGCTCCCAACCGTCTGCCTCTGGAGGTGGCCCCAGGCTCCCCGCCTTCAGCAGGGGACATGTCCCCAGGACCGGGAGGTTGGCATTGGTGGCCTCAAAGCCCTTTGCATGTCTCTCCCCGGAGAGCAAGGTTCCCTCCATAGCTGGCAACAGCAGGGAAAAAATTCCCCTGTAACCGAGTGGTGGGGCAAGGCCAAGGTGGGGCTACTGGCCAGGTTTCGGAGGGAGGGAGGAGGAGGTGGGTCGTAACATGCCGCAGCGCTGCCAGCATCCCCCAGGGACTGCGCAGGGCTGTGGCGCAGGCGCCCAGCAGGACCGGCTGCTGCTGTGGCTCACGCGGACCGAGGTCTCTACTCGGGGCAGAGTACCCCACGGGGGTGCCTCGGGGTGCCCCGTTTCGCCTGGCCCGGTGCTAGCATGCATGGTACCCTCCCGGTCCCATGGAGGCTGTGGGAGGACTGGGGGTGTTGGGGCGGCAGTGGTACCACCGGTTATGCCAGTGTGAGTCATGCCCGGCGCAGGGCTGAGTCACCGCCAGAGCGGCGTGAACATCAGGCCAAGAGCTTTCTCAGACCCATGTCCCGGTGACGCCAGCAGCGTGACTTCTCACTGCCTTTAGGGAGGGACCAACCAAACGCCACCGGGGACCATCTAGAGGTGGGTGCAGCACAAGGTCCCTGTGGCATGTGCACGGTGCCATGGCAGCGTGGCAGCTGCCTGCTGTCCCCGCAGGCCCGCTTGCCACCGCAGCCCCAAGGGCACCTGCTGCTTCACCCCATCCCGGGGATGGCAGGGGGTCCCCTGCCACTCTGCAGCAGGCACCTCCATGCCATGGCTGGGCATGCAACCTCTGCGTACAAGGGATGCCTGCGGCAGGTGTCACTGGCCACAGCTTTGGGAAAGAAAAATATTTTCTCTAATCCCAGGTTCCAGCTGCCTGTCGTGTTTACGAGTGGCAGAACAGCTCCAGCACGCCCATCCTCTCGCCACTGCACCCAGCATGGCAGCGTAGAGCTGGGGGCAGATGGACGGGGTGCAGCGGGATGAGCCCTGCCCTGACCCTGCTTCTGTCACTGGCCAGCTGCACCCTGCTCCGGGGTAAGTCCAGCTCCGGAGCTGCTGCCACAGGCTGGGGGGTGGCCCTGGCTGCAGCAGGGGGAGAAGCACAGGGACAACTCTCAGACCTACAGAAGGTACCTGCAGGAAGGAGGGAACCAAGTGGTCTTCAAGGTGTGACGGGAAAGAAAACCCCAGGGTCACCAGCAACCACGTCAGGGTGTCGGTGCCTTTCATGGGACCTCAGATAGGATGTTCCAGGGTGTGCAAGAGGTTCATGGAATATGGATGCTGAGCGCTGCACTGGCAGCCAGCCCTTGCCTGTGCCTGGCAGGGTGTCGGTGTTTGCCTACACAGGACTGAAACTGGGAGTTGTAGGGTGGTGGGGAGACCCCACAACACCTTTGCAAAGCAGGGAGACCCATGCAGCGTGGCCAAGCAGTGACCAACCAAGAAGCGGACCCCTGCAGAGCAGATCGATGCTGCCTGACGTCCCTCTGCTTCCCCCCTCCCCAGGCACGCCATTGCCTCCGCGAGACGTGAGGCTGGAGGCACAAAATTTCCACGTCCGCCTGCGGTGGGAGCCAGACCCTGGCTCACCCAGCGGTGCCTCGTACCAGGTGGAGTGGAGGAGACGGTAGGTGGGGTGGCGGGCAGAACGGGTGGAGGTGGCTCGTCCCCCCTGCACCCTGGCAGAGGGCTGTCAGGGACTCCTGGTAGCCAGAGGATTATTATCTGGCAGTAAATATCATAGAGTAACAGAATAGCAGAGCTGGCAGGGAACTCCAGAGACCAGCTCATCCAACCCCTGCTCAGGCAGGATCAGCTCAGGACTGTGTCCCTCTGGGCTTTGACCACCTTCAGGGATGGAGCCTCCACAACCTGCCTGGGCAACCTGTTCCCTTTGCTGGTCACCCTTCCAGTAGAAAACCGGTTTGGGGTTTTTTTTCCCTTATGCTTAAGTGGAATTTCCTGTATTTCATCCTGTGCCTGCTGCCTCTTGTCCTTTCATAGGGCACCACTGAGAAGAAGTCTCCATCTTCTTTACTCCATCATGCTGATAAGACTCCCCATCCTGACACCTTCTTCTGAGGCTAAGCAGTCCCTGCTTGCTCAGCTTCCCTCACACCACAGATGCCTCAAGCCCTTGGCCATCTTCTTGGCCCTTCAGTGGGCTCTCTCTGGCATGGACATGATTTTTCTTGTAGCGGAGAGCACAGGTCAGGACACAGCACTCCAGGTGCCATCCCACCAGTGCCAATGAGAGGGGACTTGACTTGCTGGCAATGTTCTTCCTAATGCAGCCCAGAATGCTATTGGCCAGTATCTGTGCCCTCCCATGCTTTCCACTCGGACAGGATGGTGATGGCTAGGTAGCTTTCCTTTTTAGCTAGGAAGGTGCCGAAAAGGAGAAATCCCTGCATTTTCTCCATGGGCAGAACCTCTCGCTGGACCAAGGTGGATACCTGCTGGGGGAACAGCACCAGCTCCTCCTGGGCATGTGAGCTGTATTTTGACAAGATCCACGATATCTACTGGGCAAGGGTGAGAGCGGTGGCCGGAGACAAGCTGTCTGAGTGGGCCTATTCCAGCGAGCTGCAGCTGTACAGAGACAGTAAGGACCAGGGAGCTCCTTCAGCTGGGCTCCTGCTCTTCCTGGGGGGCCAATGGGAAGAGGGGTCCTTGGAGAGGTCTGCCGGGATATGGTGGGAAATCACATGAGGATAATGGTGGGAGAAGTGCCAAGACCCCCGACCAGAGGAAAGGAATGGGAGCAGAGCTGCTGGAGAAGGGCTGGGTGAAAAGCAAGGGGACAGAGGAGGAGACACAGATGAGGAACACGGGTGGGAGGCCCCAGGCCACCGAGGTGCTGTGAGAATTCGGGTCTCTGGAGAACGCGGAGAGATGGTGTAGGAAAGAGGATACCCTTCCAGGCTTGCCTTTTAAAAGCATCCCCTGTTTGTCCCTGCCATGGGCCTGGGAGATGCTGGGTGAGGCCATTTTTGTTCCAGCAAGGTAAAGCTGGCATGGGCTGGTGAAGGCAGGAGTAGTCCCTGCAGCACTGCCTTTGCCCTGGCTGCCGTGTTGGCGAGGTGTGGGTATGTGCCTCTTCTCAGACTGGCTGTCCTGTCCAAAAAGCCTAGCTGTCTTTTGGAGGAATGAAAAACTCCAGGACCTTCACATAACCCATATCATGGGGGTTGTTGCTTTGAACTGAATGTGCCAGCAGCTAAAATGGGATGTACTTCAGCTTTTTGGGGTTCCCTTTTTCATTCCCTCTGCATCCAGCTGGCATGGAAATAGATGTGCTTAGCTAAAACAGCAATTGCCACACTCCACAGAGAGTCTCTAGACCATCATCTGATGGCTCAGAGATGAAGTGCTCAGCAGCAGGGAGCCAGAGGTGCTAGCAGGTCTGTCCTGCCCTATGCTGGCATGACCGGAGAAGGCAGAAGCGGCACTGGCTGTCACAAAGACGTGGTGGCTGCCGATTCTAGAGCTGGTTTCACAGCACAAAGTGCCATCAGGCTACACCTAAGAAACTTTCTGTGCGCTGGGAGTGGGATGTCCAACAGAAAAACATCATTTCTAGAGAAATGAGATGCCTGCCTTCTGTTTTGAAGGGCTTAATTTTCCTTTTTTTTTTTTTTTTTTTTTTTTCCCCTCCCTACAGCAATTGTGGGCCCCCCCAAGTTGTCTTGGCTGCTCCAGGGTCACATCCTCAACGTAAATATCATCATGCCACTCACTCCCTACCGAAGCACAAATGGCTCTTACAAGCCAGTCGACCAAGTGCTGCTGAAGCTGTGGTACTGGCTGAATCTGTACGAAGGGGATGTGCTTGTCCAGCAAGTACGTGGTGGGGCAGGCAAGGCTCAGAGTGCACGGGACTTGCAAAAGCTTTCCTGGTGCAGCAACGAAGCCTGTGTCCGGTTGCATTGGTGTGGTAGTGCCTGTTCCCATAGAGTTGCCCTAGCCCTGCCCACACCCAGCAGTGCAAGCAGGCATGAGATGCTTTGCACTCCCAGTTCGGGTCTCACAGCTTGGGGGTGGCAGGAGATCCCTTTCCTCTTCTAGACTGCATGAATAAGAAAAACCTGTAACGATTCCTGTTCAGATGAATGCATGCAGTAGGCATTTAACAAGATGCTCTGGGACCTGAACACCTTCTGGGGTGAAGAAACAAGCACTGGAGTTGCTGGGGAGCAGGGAGGGAGGGTCTGCGCTCCACACCGTGGGGTGAGTGGGGTGTTGAGGCTGCACTGGGGAGAGGAGCAGTGCACAGACCCCACCTCCAGCCGCCTTGGCCACACGTCCCCTCTGCTTCCAGGTGCCCTGCAAATGGAGCAGGGAGGAAGCCCCATGTACTTTCAGATACCTGAAGCCCAGCACGCAGTATTGTGTCCGGACGGCAGCCACAGGCATGGTTGGGGAGCAGAGCCAGGAGGCCGAGCAGTGCATGGTGACTCCACCAGGCCCCGCAGGTGGGAGCTCTCTCGCTGGCTCAGCCACTGCGGTTGCATCTCAGGTCCTGCTTGCAGCATGGACATATGTGGAGGTGTGGGTCACTCCCCGCCCCGAGCCATTCTGGTCAGGGTTGGTGGCCCAGTAACACCCTGTGAGGTGCTTTCCTGGGGAGATGCTCTCTCACTATCCACCTTGGGCTTGCCCCGCATATTCCCCGTGAACATCCCGGCCTGCTGCAGGGGCTTTGGGGAAGTGCTGGCGTAGGGTGGGCTTGGGGGGAATGCTGGCTGGGGTCCTTCCACCCCTCAGCCTGTTGTGACTTCCTGGCAGGTTTTCCCTGGGTCCTCCTTGCCGTGCTGAGTGGCATCTTCCTGCTGCTGAGCATGGCCGGGCTCTGCTTCGTCCAGCTGCACGTCTTCCCCAGCCCCTCGGAGACGCTCCTCCCGAAAACACTTGTGAGTGCACAATTCTCCTCCAGCCTCTCCACCCTGTGTGTACCGCACCTGAGCTGGGGTTCTATGCATTTGCAGGGGGCTCAGCACCTCTTTCCCTCCACCTCTTGCACCACTAAACCTGCCTCAGTGCCCAGGTGCCTCCCCTGCTGTCTGACCCATTGTACCCCCAGGCCTTGCTGTGTGGGAGAAGATACTGGTGAGATGCATTAACCAGCCATGGGTCACACTGGGGGAGGGTGTCTCGGGCAGCACGTAGCCTGTGGCCCTCGGTGTTAGAAGCCTCCTGCTTTAGGCAGTTGGCTTTTGCTTGGCTGCATGTCCATCTACAACAGCTGCAAGGGCAGAAAGAGGGGAAGAGAAACAAACAGTGGGGCTGCTGTCCTGGGACAGTCTGGCCTGAGTGAGGTGCAGCCCCTCACTGCTCTGCCCTTGGGATAAATGTGGCCACAAGGCTCAGAGAGGCTCCCAGGGCTACAGCCCTGCTGAGCTGATCCAAAACTTGTTCTGGATCAGCAGGACTGAGCCCTGTGAAACAGTCACCAGGACAGCCTTTCGCCCCGAGTCCCAGTTCCCCCATGCTGGGGGTGGCAGCAGCCTGGGATGAGCAGCCCTTTGAGCATTCTGGGGACAAAACCAACTTGCTAAGCTAAAGAAGTCCCCTCTGCCAGTGTGGAGAGAAGATGGCAGGCTGCTCCACTTGCCCTGGCCGACCACAGGGCCAGCGTCCTTTGCTTTCCTATTCTTCTTGGCTTCTTCATGGGGATTGCTTGGGTCTCTGAGCAGGTGAGAGCTGCTGACAGCTGGGGCATAGCTTGAAAAGCAGCAGCGTGAAAGCTTCTGTGACCATACTCCAGCACCACAGCCCCTGTGCCGTAATGAGCAGAGCCCTGCCTGCATTTCTCCCAGGTGTGAGCATGGAGAGGGGCTGTCCGGGACGATTCCCTGCCCCGGGCTCCACAGTTCATCACCCCCAGGCTGGTGGGGGTTTCAGCAAGCTGAGGCTGACTGCTTTGCTGCTTGTTTCCCGGCAGGCTCTCCTGAACAGGGACCCGAGCGTGACCATCAGGGAGCCCACCCTTGAGCTCAAGGAGGACTCGCTCACCCTGCTCCTGCCAACTGTGCTACCCTCCTGCCAGTTGCCTGCAGGCGAGCAGACAACACCCACAGTCCAGCTGCTCGTCAGAGAAAGCCTTTCCCAGGACATGAATGGCTACTGTGCCAATGGGTTTGGGCCAGACTGCCACGAGGGAAGGGACCCGTCCTGCACCCACAGCCAGCTGGGGCATGCCTTGGGCTCCCAGGTCTCATTGCGGCTGGAGGAGGATGGGGAAGTGTGTGATGGGGATGATGTGCTGGAGCAGCCAGTGCTGGTGGGACTGACCAGAGACAGCTACACAGGTGACAGGGACTACCGGACATCGGAGATGTGGCTCCCCCTGCATCTCCAGCTTCATTCTAAATGCCAGTGCCCAGCCCTGGGAGTGGGCAGTTGGCTACCTCTGCCCACACCAGGCAGGAGCTTCAGCCAGGAGGACTTGCGGGAGAGCCTTGGCATGGCAAGGCACTGGGTACTGCTCAGCTCCGTGAAGCTGCCGGCCAGTGAGGAGGAGGATGGAGGGCAGCTCGTCCATGCTGTCCAGCCCCTGCATGGCCTTGGGACTGAGCCACAGCCAGGTGACAGCACCGTGCAGCAGGTTGACTTGGAGCAGGCAGCACTGGGTGTCCCCAGCCCTTGCCAGCTGCCCCAATTGTCCCCTGACATCCGACAGGCAGCTGCCTTCTCTGGCTATGAGCTGCGTCCCCCAGCTGACAGTGAGCCATAGCATGCAGGCGGGGGCACACCGGGAGCTCCTGGCACCCAGATCACAGCACCAAGCAGAGCTCGAGTTGCTGCCCGGAGCTGCCCCAGCCATGATGGCTGCCTGCTCAGACCTGCCTGTGCCTTGCTGGGGACAGGACTGGGGCAGGCTCCTGTGCGGGCAGGCACAGGCATGCTCCAGGTACAGCTGCCATGGATGGGTGAGATCGGTATCTTCAGAGCTTCCCTCTGGTTTTGGTGCTCTTGAACCAAAGCATAAGGAATACATACCAAAATCGAAGCCCCAAAACTTTTATCTATTTATCCATCTATATGTGTATATATGTGTGCATGTAAAGTATATATACTAATGCAAATGTATGTTTATACTCAAATATATATATAAACCTCTTGAATGAAAGAGGAGTTTGGTTTTTTTTTTTACTTGTCTGGAAATACTGATTGTGCACTGGAGCTGTTTTTTAAATAACACTAATTTATTATGGAAAACTGGCTTCTGTGCTTATTCTTTCTGTGTTACAGAACCATCACTGCCCTGCCTGAGCAGCATCTGGGAAAGGCACTAGGAAAACATGGTGTTTCCCTGGGAGAAAATTGCACCCACAGCTGGGCTGCGTGTTGCTGTTGTGTGGGAAAAGGCTGGTTCTTGAGCAACCACTAGATAGTTTTATTATTCCTTCTACCAGCACTGGGGCAATTTACTTCTGGGGAGCCCTGCCCTGCAGTTGTCTCTCTGGGATGTGTTTGTGAGGCTGTGCCTGCAGCCACGGAGGCAAGGGGAAATCCTCTGGCCCAGTGTCAGGCATCATTGTGCTTTGCAGTGGCTGGGATTGGTGGATTCCAGTGCTGGGGGACAAATCCAGCGCCTGGACTCACAAGATTTAAGCTGGATTTGGGACCAGATGAGAAATTGGTGTCCAGCATCCAGGTATCTGGTGGAGGGGAGAGAGGGGACAGCACTGCCAGCCTTGGGGGGCTTTTTGGGTAAAGCAGGGCTGCACAGGGCCACTTCCCAATCCTGTGAGTCATCCCTGACACCCTGGCCGTGCACCATCCCCGGGGTGGCTGTGCCCTCCCTCTGCCAGGCTGTCAGCCTTCCTCTTCCCCTGCCACCACGGCTGACTCAGACGGAGACCTGCAGCAACACTGGCTGCGGTTTTCTGGCAGCTGAGCGGGGCCGTGGGGCAGCCCCATTTGAGTGCTCCTGAACCAGGGCAGAGGCGTCTTCTCCCCGGGCAGTGATGCTGCTGGGACAGCTTTGTCTCTGCTTCAAAGCAGGCTGCTGTGCTTTGTGCATCTTGTTAGCATAATCTCTCTTAGTGATGATGTATTGGGTTTGCATGGCAAGGTTTTGGTAGCTGGGGGGCTACAGGGATGGCTTCTGTGAGAAGCTCCTAGAAGCTTCCCCTACGTCTGACAGAGCCAATGCCAGCTGGCTCTGAGACAGACCCACCGCCAGCCAAGGCTGAGCCCATCAGCGATAGTTGTAATGCCTCTGTGATAACATATTTAAGAAGGGGGAAAAAAAAAAAACCTGCGCAACAAACTTCAGCCAGAGACAGGAGTGAGAATATGGGAGAGAAACAACTCTGCAGACACCAAAGTCAGTGAAGAAGGAGGGGGAGGAGGTCCTCCAGGCACCGGAGCAGAGATTCCCCTGCAGTCCGTGGTGAAGACCACGGTGAGGCAGCCTTTCCCCCTGCAGCCTGTGGAGGTCCACGGTGAAGATAGCTACCTGCAGCCTGGGGAGGACCCCACACCAGAGCAGTGTGTGCTTGAAGGACTGCAGCCCGTGGAAGGGACCCATGCTGGAGCAGTTTGTGAAGAACTGCAGCCTGTGGGAAGGACTCATGTTGGAGAAGTTTGTGGAGAACTGTCCCCCTGGGAGGGACCCCATGCTGGAGCAGGGAAGAGTGAGGAGTCCTGCCCCTGAGGAGGAAGGAGTGGCAGAGACAAGGTGGGATGAACTGACCCTAACCCCCCTTCCCTGTCCCCCTGTGCCACTCGAGGGGAGCAGATAGAGAAAATCTGGAGTGGAGTTGATCCAGGAAGGAGGTAGGGGTGGGGGAAGGTGTTCTAAGATTTAGTTTTTATTTTCTCATTATCCTACTCCAATTCAATCAGTAATAGTTAAACTAATTTCCCCAAGTCAAGTCTGTTTTGCCCATGATGGTAATTGGTGGGTGATCCCTCGCTGTCCTTATCTCGAGCCATGAGCCTTCTGTTATATTTTCTCTCCCCTGTCCAGCTGAGAAGGGCAGTGATGGAGCGGCTTTGGTGGGCATCCGGCATCCAGCCACGGTCAACCTGCCACAGATGATGTGAGGACATGTGGTGTATTAAATGGATTGTGCTGAATTTTAAAAAAAAATGAGAGAGATGGTCCCAAGAGTTGCTCGAAGGAACACGCGTGTTACCTACATGCTGTTTGCTGCCAACAAAGTTCCTCTCAGGCTCAGTTGAAACAATAGTCTGATTTTCCTTAATTTGTTTCATTTTCTCTTTTTGACAAGATGAAAATTAGGGCCCAGGTATCTGCCGTTGTTTTGGGTCACGTTGTTTTGGGCCTTTTTAATTTTCAGTTGTTTAGAAAGCAAACCAAAAGCCAAGCTGGAATAATTCCCCAATGCTAAAAATCAGGCAGACTTCAGAGGAGTTGAGGTTTTGAGGCAAACACAGGAGCTGAAACATTGCAATCTGTCAATCCTCAAGCAAAATGTTCCACACTGACCTTCCATCATGCCATCCCAATTCTTTTTTTTTTTAACTTGAAGCTTTTTGAGGCATTTGATCCATAGTTGTGACTGCTCTGCCAAAGCTCACGGAGTCAAAACCACGTGTCTCCTTTTCCTCCTCTGCAGCCCCACGGCCACGCCATCCTTCTAGGTGGTGAACAGGAACCTCACAGTGATTGATCTCCTTGACAAGTGCCTGAGATGTGTGTCCTGCTTCTGTTTCAAGACTTCTGGGAGTGGACACTCTCCTCTTTCCCCGCAAATCGTCATTTTCTCCACTAATGTTTTCCGCAAGGACTCATCGCACTTTTCCATGTTGTGGTTTCTTGTCCTGTTCCCCAGGGAACAGCTTATTCCCTTTATCCCCATGGCTCTCCTTTGGTCTCTCTTCTAGCCTAACCTCTTGATCCTGTTGGTCTTGTCTCATAAACTGTGTTCATTATGCCCTGTATGGGAGTGCTGAGCTCTTTCAGAGCTAGACCACTGTGTTTCCTTGGGCCACACATGTGCCCATGCAACAGTCTCGGCAACATGGGCATTTGCACCTGGCCAGTATCACAGCTGCAGCCTGGGATGAGCCCTAAAAACCACTTTACGTCTGCGCCAGAGAGCACACATCTGTGCATTGTTCACCTGGAGATAACTAATGCCAAGCTGTCTCCTCATGGGTAGTGTTCAGTAGACACAGGCTTTGCACTGTGAGCTGAGGTTTGGAGCAGGGCGGTGCTGTGGCTGTGCAGAAAGGCAGGCATGTTCTTACTGCCAGGACACTGGCTGCAGGCAGCGAGCTCAGTGCAGAGCGGTGCCATGTCCCCATGCAGCAGGTCATGGGACAGTTCGGGTTGGAAGGAAACCTTGGGAGCAACCTAGTACCCCCTCCTGCTCAGAGTAAGGTCAGCAGCCTGAGGCCAGACAAGGTTGATCAGATCTTTTCTAGTCTGGCCTTGAAAACTTCTGAAGGTGGAGACCGCGGAACTCTGAGCATCCCACAGCAGTCCTGGACTGCCCTTGGTGATGGGAGTGTTTGGACAGCAAGACAAGGAGGTTGGGGTTGTTGTTCAGGAGTGAACAGAGATGACATGCTAAGGGCTTGCTCTCCTCCCATTGTTCATTGTGGTGTCTGGTCACCATCCCCTTTGTGCTTCATAGTTTCCGATGTGTCTCAAGGTCACAGTCAAAACCCTACACATGTGGAGCCCTCTTTGACTGACTGCCTCATCCCTGGCAGGGCTGATGGGGCCTCCAGCCTCACCACTGTTCCTGAAGGTCATTGTGTGATGGCAGGGCATTTGCAAGAAACCGTTCAACAGGAGCATTGGTCAAAACTGCCCTGTTGCACGTGCTGTTAGACTCTGGGAAGGAGCCACAGCCTGAGCTTGAGGTCCTCCAGGCCAAGCAAAGAGCGTCCCAGTCCAGCCCGTGATGCATCAGCTGAGACCTAGGCTGTTTGCTGGGAGGCACTGGCCCAGAATGGTGGGACTAAACTGGCTCCCACAGCCTCCTTGTTGGAAGCTTGGCTCGGGCCGGGGCACAGCCAATGCTTTTATAACAGCCTGAGAGGTCTTTAAAGATCAAAAGAAAAACATCTCTTTTCTGAGTTTTTGGCAGGGCAACCATGCTGGGATCCCCATGGGTGATTCAGGCGAGTTACTCACTGGCAGCAGGGACTCACCTCGGCCCAGGGGGTGGTTGAAGCAGCTGAGAGCTCCCTGTCTGTACGAAACAGAGATGTTCATGCAGAGTGGAAAAAGGCAAAAGGCTCGTGACATTTCAAGATGGCATTTTAGCAGCTGAAGTTTCCGAGTGGATGTGAAAGGGGTTTTTTTGATTCACTTTGGAGGTGCAAACAGCATGTGGGGTTCTGCAGAGCCACAGCAAGAAGGTGTGATCCTCGCTGTGGGGTTGAGGTCCTGGCATGACCCAGCAAAGACCTGCCACCACCATGCACAGCTCAGGGTCTAGGTGGAGTGTGTCTGGATTACAGCCTGCTTCAGTCTGCCTGGCCAGGCGTTATGGATTGAGCAGTATGGAGTTGTGCTGGAGAATGGAGCTGGGTCCAGGGGCAGGTCCCCGGCCCCTGCCATGCCTGTGCAGCAGGACGCCTGGCTGGGTCCCTCCACCACTGCTGCAGTGCTCAGGCGTGCGTGCACACCTGGCTCCCACCTTGTGCTCGCAGGCGTCCTATGGTCCCTCCGCAGCATGGAGATGGGTGAGCCAGTGATGGGTCCTCAGATATCCAGCCCAGCCCCACAGTGCCCATCACCTTGGAGGTCAGCCACTGTTTCTCACGGCCACGATGCCGTGCCTGGAGATATTTGGTGCGGAGGTTTGTGAAAGCTCTGACTCACCATGATCAATAGGCTCATTCCTGGCTGCTCTCCATGCTGTTGGCGGTGTTTGCAGCTTCTGCCGGTACCAGATCAAAGCAATGAGAGGAATGCAGCTGAAAACAGCT